TCAAATATCAGACACATCCACAAGCTATTTATACAAGTCGATTATTGAATCTTTCAAAACTCCCTAAACCAGGTAATAACATTTATTTATTATATTTTTTAAAAGTTAATGATATTAACTATAAACATTTTCTAATCTGTCAATATAGTAAATGCAGGTAATGATATTTAATTTCTTAAATTGGATTTAAATTGTAGTTTTACGTATGTGGCATATTTAGATGTATATATTTTAGGAAGTAAATGCATTGATGATGTTGAAATCCCCGATGGTAAGTTAAATATATTCGATTTATTATAATTAAACAAATTTATTACTCATTTGTATATTGGTATTTAGATTATTAAATCAATTAAAGAGAAGTTATTAAAGTTGGAGTGTTCTATTTATTATTTCATACTGCAATAATTCAATGATTGTTATATATATTCATGTTATATGTACTAAAGAGATATGTAACAATTTTGCTAACAACCGTTTTGCAGACAAGGTTGACCGATTTAAGTTAGAATTGACCTGACTTATAGTTTAGTGCTGGCTAGATGTAGATTGTTGGCGAAATGGTGGTTAGCAAGTTCTATTTTATAAATTTTTTAAAGAAAAGCTATAAAATTAAAATCTAAATATTAAGGCTCCGAATCTCAACAGTTCCTGTTTTTAGTATAATCAAATTCAAAATTATATTTTATCTCGAAACTGTGATCAATATTTTATAATCAATTCTTAGGATAATATCTAGTTAGCAAATAAAAATAAAGTGAAAATTAGCTTCTTTACATTTTCTAAATGAAAATTAAGTACCATTTAATTATTATCAAGGGACTATATTAAAGTATGTAATAAACAAAACCTCTAAGCAATGATCGGGTTCGAACATGTCTTGAAAGCGAATTTAGATCTTTAAATGGATTATGACAATTCAATCTATATTCAATAAAATAGATCGATAAAGAATAGAATCTTAACGTTGAGTTTACGTGTAGATAATAAGGTAAATACCAACCAATCAAATTTTGAGTTTAATTTCGTCGATAGTCTCAAAACGCCATTTTCAAAAGAAGATATTTCAAAGGTCTTTGACGTAAAAGAAAAAACATAGATACATAGTATAAAAATATGAAATAACAAATTTTTTATTATAAAGAATACTAGTTATATTGTAAGATAAAAATATATAAATGTTAGCTTAGAAGTGAAAACTGTCTTTATTCACAAAACCTATAGATATGTAGCTGCAACTTGCAGATCCAAACATTACCCTAAAAATTTTCTATCAATATTTCTATATTTAAATTCCCTATCTATATCTACTATAAATGCAGATTTATGACATCGCCTACGTAGTTTAATTTAAATATATATATATTAAAAATTAGGAAAAAATTAAATGAAAGAAATGATAATCATACAGACGATTATTGTGCGCAAGCAAAATTTAAAAAAAAAATAATAAATGAGAAGAAAATAGTATAAAGATTTTATTTATTGGTTTCAGAATGAAGCACTTCATAAATGAAGTAGTATTCAATAGCACTATTTAGAAGTACACAACCCTGAAGAATAAGATTTTTAATTTAATTTAGTTTTACCGACACCCATCTATTAGAACGTGAAATAGAATACTAAATACCTCAATTGTCAAATAAAAAGAAATTATATGCTTACTTTAAATATCTTGAAAGCTAACTTAGAAATAAATTGCTTATCTTTATTGACTTTGACATGAATAGTAAATGCAGTATCAAGAAAATCATGTTATAGGATCAACAAAGTCAATGATAAACAGCAAGAGTTATAGAAAAATGATTATAAGGACTAGATTTAAACTTGATAACTATGAGTTAAACGATTAAACGATCAATAAACGGTTAAACGATCAATAAACTGTTAAACGATTAATAAACGATTATACGATTATTCATCGTGTAATTTATATTTAAATGACGCGATTAATCGCCAGCATAATTTTTGCGGTTCCAATCCCTATAAATTATTGAATATCATTGTTGTGTTTTGTTAGTAATTTTAGTGATAATTGTTGCAGCCGATTAAAATAAGAACCTCAATCAATGCTTAAATAACTTTTTATCGATTCTATATAGCATAATAATAAAAAAAGTCAATAATTAGTGTTGATAATGAAATACACAAATATCAATTTAATATAATTATCGTAATACTTAATTGCTACGATAAATTAAAATAAGAATCTCAAATAGTGCTCAAGTGGCTTTTATAAATTCTATATGGCATAATAGTAAAAAAAATTCAGTAGTTAGTGTTGATAATAAAGATCATAACAGTGAAGTATGCAAATACTTGAATAATAATTATATTTACCCTAGAAATTATGAAGTCTTGAAGAGCTGTGCAAAAAAAAAGCTGTGAAAAAGTTTGTTAGCGGGCACAAGTATCACTCGTAAAATAAGGATCTCGATCAGTGAATGTATCGTTCTATATACCATAATAATAATAAATTAGCAGTTAAGAAGATAGTTAGTTTAGTTTTTAGCAAATCAGAACTCGTAAATATGTAACTTACTTAACTACATTACTGCTAATTAACCTATTCAGTCATATTGCTTGTTAAAATCCTTATCTTGCGCCATTTTCTGAGACTCACATACTGTATTTAATACATTGTTTCCATTAGTTAGAGCAAAATACTCACTACAGATTCATTCGTTATGTTTGAATTGTACATATATCTTTAAAATCGCTATTCTTTGATCGCTTGCATTCTTTAAATTATGTAATAAATAAAATCGTGCAGTATTTATTACTAAACACATAAATAAAACCGTATATAGATAATCTTGTCAGTGAATTAATTGTCTATGAATTAAGTTGCCTATAAAGTGATTGTCGGTAAAATAATACAGATTCTCTCCAGTAGCACTCATAATGATGTATATTTTTCTTCATGCATTTGACCTAAATTGATGAATATCCATCGATAATAAATCAAAAAATATTTTAAAAAGCTAAAATAGACAGATCGTTTATTTACACAGAATGCAAAATAATAGTTTTTACATTTATTTTAATGACCCAAATTTTATTTTACTATTTCATCGTTAGAAAAATCCGTTTAATAGATATTTTAATTTTTTTGAAATAAGTTAAATTTTAATTCTAGATAGAATGTAAAATTAAAAAACATCTCATTTTGTATTATTATAGCATTAATTGTATCTCTGAACGTTTCATAGCTTACTTTCATGTTCAAGTCTAAAAAAAGAAAAAAAAATAAATGCATCTCATTTCAAAACATGTTTATTACATATAATTACAATAAAAATCAACAGTTTGAATTGAAATGCAGGGGGTGAACTAGGAACGCTACCTAAGATGACTTCTTACTTATAAATTTTGTTCGTGTCATATCGTAATTATTAGTTTATAAGTGAAGAGAATTTTGGATTAAATATTAATATTATTAAGTGTTGGTATTTAGTATTCACTAACTATTGAATTCACAGGAATTTTTTATTATATTAGATTAGTTAATTTATATAAATAATATTGAACAGTAAGGAGAGTAGGCCTTTCGTAAATAGTAGAGGTGCTAAGGCTCCAACCACCATACAGATGGTTGGAGTTTCGAGTCCCACCGGAAGATTTCGCTAAAAAGCTAGGAGTGGTTGAATAACGGCTATCGGTAGTTTGATCAGTGATGTTCGCAAGCCCCAACGGATGTTATCTTAATTAAATTTTTTGATATTAGTAGTTATGTTACACGATCCATGATAGTGCATAAATTGTACAATTAACGATTATGCTAAGAACCGGGCTTGATCGTGATGATACTAACCCATGCCAAATAAAAATATTTACAGTTACACGATTTAGAAAAAATTATTTATATGGGTAATTTAAATGTCAGCCACGTGAATCCAACGAGTGCCACCAAGGGAAACCCCACAAATCTTAATAAGATTTACGGGTTTTCCCTTGGCGGCACTCAAATAATGTTTTACAAAAAATAGTCAGCGCATTGTTCTTGTAAGCGATGGCGAGTTAATTATGCGAAACTCACGTGAAAATGTATGCGTTTGATTGGTCAAAAACATGTTTCCTGGTCAGTTAAATAATTGACATCATAGGCGTAACCTGTTACAGATTTTCGGTCATATCATTTGAATCAGGTGAAAAATCGCTTAATCTTAAGCTATATAAATTCAATTGTGTTCATCAAAGGTACTCTCTAACTTGCTTCAAAATGGTTCTCAAATATGGCTATGCTATCGGTAATGTATTATAGAATCACAAATAATGACTTTTCTTAAAAAAGTATTTACTGATTATTTATTACACTATTTTTTTTTTTTTTTTTATAGGTGAACAGGTCGGTAATATGTCTATGACTGCCGGAAAAATTATCACCCCTACAAAATTACCGGAGGTGATCGGTTTGTCCGTTGTAAACTCTTCCAGGTTTATAATTCTTGGAACCAAACCAGGTAGAATTTCTTAATTTTATTGCCTCATAAAACTTGATGAATAAAATGGATGTTAAATTAAATTTTTTTTGTTTTTTTTTTTTTTTTGTAAGAAATTCTTGAATGGCTTCGCACTTATTCTCACATTAAACTTGAGGTGACCCTGTTTGACGATGTGACAGAAGCGCCACACGTTCGTGTCCCGGACATAGTTATTGATCTTTTACCAACATTCAATGAATTTGGTTACGCCAAACACAGTTCTCTTCTTGATTATATCATTCCAACACACCATCCTAACCCCGATGAAGAACCAGTACGCCTTGAGTTTCGTCCCGCAAATCCCAAAACCGATGAAAATTCTGATCCATATTTCCGTATTACCGTGAAAAGGGGTTCAAAGTTTAGTGAAATCTTTAATGAACTTAAGGATAAATGGGATTCGGTTGTGTATCCTAATGTGTGGGATAATTTGAAACATCTTGCGGCGTTGTCCCGTCAATACCTAGAAGATGATCATGATCATGAAAATTCACCTCCCTATAGTGGTCAACTTAAAAGTGTGGTAGTGGATCAGAAATGAAGGATCCAAAGTTGGGATGTTTTAATAACTAATGTATCATAATTAACATACAATATATATAGATGTGTAAAAACTTCTTTTGAAATTCTCGAAAAAATATGTTATTGAGCTTGAATTGTGCATTATGTGAAATTTAACGATTGCTTGTACATCTCGTTTTTTTTTTTTTCTCCTTCGATAAAATTTCAAAAATATGTTACGTCCAAAAAAATTTATTCAATTACTCTATCGCTATTTTAAATCAAATTTATCTATTTTGAATCATGAGTTCGTCGTTTTTAACAATGATGAAAGTATCCTGTTACACTAAAAATTTTAACACTGTAAATAAATAAATACCTTTTTTTTTTTTTATATATAGACAGATTTTGTTTGTATCAAAGAAATAAAAAAAAAAGTTTTTATATAAAAAAAAAGAGACAAGGTTGCAAATCGAATAAAAACAAAAAAAGTAATATTTAAAATAATATTAAAACAAGATAGATACAAAGAATTGAAGCAACGATATAATGCTGAGTTGAAAGTTTACACTGTACATGAACGACACTGCGTGAACTATTTTTGGGCATCTACAAATCCAAATCTCAATATATAATAAAAAAAAAATATTATAAACTAGGTGACAAATAACACAGGTGTAAAGTGAAATATAATAGATTGGCGCATAATTTCATAGCAACTAATTGGTATATTATAACTGTCCAATAATTTTGATTTGATCCATCCCCATGCTAGCCTTAACTTTTTATTTTTAATTAATGAAAATAAAAAAAAAAAATTATGTTCCATATACTTGTTTTTCCTATCCTACACGCATCACACGATGTAGTGAAAAGAATAAACATAGATTATTCTCGTACAGATACTGCTGGGTTTATTTAGCTCGTGATATCTACCTGATATTCCCATCGTTCTTCAAGCAATCCTTTAGCGGTATCATCTAATAATACCTCTCTACGATTCAAAACATAAACAGTTTTATTCAAGACTTGTTCTTTCAATTCACTAATTTTTTCTGGTTCAATAGGTTTTTCCAATAATTCTGAAAGTTGTTCAACGGCCATTTCAAGGTCACGTTGATTGTCCTCAAACATTTCTGTATGATTGTTACGAGCGAGATAAAATGCAAATGCGTATGTCCATTTAAGTGTCATACGACATTGCACAAGGGTATCAACAGCTTTTCTAAGGAATTGAACTTCAATCCAAGATAAATCAGATGTTTGTTGCATTTCCTCCATCTTCTTTTCAGTCTTATTATAAAGTTCACGATCAAGCTTTGCGGATTGTTCATGGTTTGCAAATCTATTATAATACTAAAATAAAATAAAAAAAATCGTGTATTGGTAATTAAATATTAGTACAATAAAATTTGTAAATCATTTTTTTTTTTTATTATGTATTTAATTTATAATAACATACGTGAAGATATCGTTCCAAGGATGCACGAGATTTTGCTTGCTGATCTCTAGCATCCTGACTACTCCTTTCATCATAACGATTACAATTATACCAACTGGTACCATGTTCTGACCATGGTCCCATACAGACCCAGCAAAATTCGTACTTACATTTGCGACAGGTCATATGGTTACATCCACCATTTTTTTCAATGGTAGAATGACATTTCCCACATTCTTTTGTATGTGCAGAGATCCAATTAGCTGTTTCTGAATCATCCTCACATTTTTTGATCCATCTTTTAACAAGCGTACAAATCGATGGTTGATGATCAGGTAAACTGCAACCGAAGCAGAATCGGTGACTACATGAACATTCGACTGTTGGTACAATACTTGTGAGAGAAGCTTGTGGTACATGGCATTCGATCGCATATTCACAGCTAGGAGCAGGGCACCATCTTAAAGATTCGTTATCATCTACGTATGTTCGATTTAGTAATGTACGATATCTAAAATTTTAATTAAAATGAGTACTTATAATAAATTAATAAATTTTTAAAAAAATTAAAAAAATATAAATTAAAATTATTTATAATTTTCACCTTTCGTGTATTTCATTGTTAACTGCTAATTCAACCGTTTTTTCATCCACGATAACATTACAACCATTGGCCATACACGATATCCTACGACTTTCACCTTCCTCCTTGATCTTTTGTGTCAAGTAATGTTCGTAACAACTTCGACAAAATCGATGACCACATGACAGAGCCAAAGTTTCTATACCTTCATCATCGCAGCAAATTTCACATACAAAACCTGGAACCTTTACGAACTTTGGAATCATAGAATCATCAGTTATGACACCAGCTTTATGCAGGACATCTTTTGGATCATCCATATATCTCTCGATAAGTCTTTCTTTATTCCAACAAAAATGACGAAGTAATGTCGCAGCATGTTGCTTTTGGATACCAAGAATATTAGACACATGAGTAACTTCTTCGTCTTGGTTCTTGACAATACCTTGAACAGAGTGAACTTTGAATTCCACTTCGTAACTTTTTTTACGATCTTTTTCGGCAACCACGTCCGTAAAATTGAAATCGGCGTCGTCTTCTTCAGCAATAACTTCCTCCTCATCGTTGTCAAAGTCTAATTCACCGTCTTCGTCTTTATGTTGGAAAGGTTAAATTTTGTAAGTGTGATTATAATAAATCATTAATTGGACCTCGTGTATTAAGACTGATCCAATTTGTAGCAAGGTAGACTGTACAAACGTTTCAAGATCAAAAACAAATGTTCAAACTC